GGCCCTGATAATTTTGCTGTGTATCCTAAACTTGAGTTCCAGTATACTCTGGAAGTCTGACTTTACAGGGCACGTTTTGTATTGCTTCACATTGAATCAGTATTTTATTTTTAAAGGTTTTTCTAAAAAAAGAAAATAAACAAACAAACAAAAACAATAAGTTTAATTTGTTTATAAAAAATGCAAAATGCTTTTTTGACAGATTTTACCCCTTAAGTTTTTCAGATTTTACATTTTACCCCTCACTCTAAATTTTGAGGGGTAAAAACCCCTTGGCCGAAAAAATTATCTGGAGCTCTGCATATCACTACTATCTTTTTCAAATACAATATACCACCCCTAGGGCATCATGTGACATTCCGGAGGGTTTAATTGGACCACATGTTTATTACTTATTTGCTAATTGTAATTATCGGAACTGATAAAGAGATAAAAGACATGTTTTAATAAATAACAAATCCTTTGTCTTCACTGGAGCTTCGTGTTATCTTTAACATTAAATGAAATGTAAGCCTTACAGTAAGGTCTCTGTTGTAGGGTAAGAATGGCAACATGAAAGAAGAGCACAAAATTTAATGTATATATATTTTTATTACTTATTTTTCTTTTATTGTCAATCATCGTAAAAAAAAACAACAGTATGATACTTTTTTCTCCATACTTGAATTGTAGTACTAGTCTCGATAAAAAATTAAAATCTAAATCCCAGTTCTTGTGCCAGATATGTGCAGGGTTGTCATTAAGAGGCGGCAGGAGGCCAAAATGCCTGTCTCAAATGCATTATAGGCCGCCTCAAAATTAAGAAAACACTCTTTGTTATGCATGATAAAGACAGAAATGACCGCCTCAAGTTCAAAACAAACCTTCTGCAAAAAATGTTAATGACAACCCTGTATGTGTTTGTAAGATTAATTATATATTACTCATAAATACATGAGGGTAAATTAATAATAACAAGTAATTATCATAGTATTGCAAGCAATCCATAAGTCCCCTACCGGTTAGAACCCCAGCAACATTCTGATGGGCCATTTGCCATTCAATTTTACCAAGTGAATGAATGACATGAATGAACTTAAATCTTTTGAGTTCTAAGTTTGTCTATATCACAGTAATGTGTTAAGTTTCCCTGCCTAGTAAGGAAATTATGTTTATACAGCCTTGTCATATTATTACGATGTGCTATTTTAAAGTAAATCCTGTAAGGACTGAAGAAGTTGGAGTAAAAAATACCAATTTCTCGAAAAAAAATCCAAGTTCAAGGGGGACATAATTCTGGAAATAGTCTTGCTAGAGTATTTAACCTTCTCAAAAATGTTGAGTGATAATAAGAAACATATATATGAAGTTTGAAGTAGATACATTAGGAAATAAAGAAGTAATTTAAAAAAGACAACATTTTTTTTCCATAAAATTCTAAGTTCAAGGCAGGTAATACTGATAATTTTTGTGCTAGAGTTGTAAACCTTGTCACATATGATGTGGTTGATGACCAGAAACTTATATTTAAAGTTTGAAGTAAACACCTTAAGAAATAAAGAACTTATAGTGAAAAAGCTGAAAAATTTAAATCAGAAATCTTGAAATTCAGGCTATTTGTTGCCATAGCAACCAGAATTTTCAACATAGGAAGAAAAGAAAAAGATGTGCATAATCTCCAGACTGCCATCTACCCATATTTCAAGTTTCATAAAAATATTTTCAGTACTTTTTGAGTTATCACTGGATCCAGTTTATGTGTTAAATTTGCCATATTTTCAGACTATTTGTTGCCATAGCAACCAGAATTTTCAACATAGGAACAAAAGAAAAAGACGTGCATAATCTCCATACTGCCATCTATCCATATATCAAGTTTCATAAAAATATTTTTAGTACTTTTTGCGTTATCGCGGGATCCAGTTTTGTGGACGGACGGACGGACTGACAGACGGACGGACAGACAGACAGACGGACAGACGGACGGAGGGTAAACCTAAAGTCCCCTCCGGTTAAACCGGTAGGGGACTAATAATAGAAACACATTAATTCATGGGCATTTAATACAAAGGCCATTTTATTTTACAATGTCTTTTTAACTGTCCCAATGTAAAAAAAAACATTTCATGAAATAAATAAAAACAAACCAACAAGCACATTTTTTAAATAATCAATTTAATTTATCATGTGTCAAATTGAGAATCCTTTCTACTAACATTTACACTGTGTCTGGGACAAAAAAATATTTGTCCCAAATTTGACTTAGGCCAAAATAAACAAGCAATTATCATAGTATTGCAAGCAATCCATAAGTCCCCTACCGGTAAGAGCCCAAGCAACATTCTGAAGGGCCATTGGCCATTCACTTAGGTTCCTATTTTAAGTAAATTTGTTGAAAAAGTTCTTTAAAAATGATCACAGTAAACAGTTTTTATGTACAGACAGACGGACTGAAGGACACTCTAAAGTTATTTTTTAAACATCCCTGTTATCAAAATATAACATTTTTAAAATCCTATCATGATTGAAGAAGTTGGAGTAAAAATTACCAATTTCTCAAAAAAAAGTCAAAGTTCAAAAGGGGCATAATTCTGGAAATAGTCTTGCTAGAGTATTGAACACTCACAAATGTTGAGTGACAATAAGAAACATTTATATGAAGTTTGAAGTAGATACATTCAGAAAAAGAAGTTATTAAAAAAAACAATGTTTTTTTCATGAAAATTTTAAGTTCAAGGGAGGTAATTCTGATAAATTTTGTGCTAGAGTTGTAAACCTTGTCACATATGATGTGGTTGATGACAAGTAACTTATATTTAAAGTTTGAAGAAAATACCTTAAGAAATAAAGAACTTATAGTGAAAAAACTTAAAAACTAGAATCAGAAATCTTGAAATTCAGTCTATTTGTTGCCATAGCAACCAGAATTTTCAACATAGGAAGATAAAAAAGGATGTGCATAATTTCCATACTGCCATCTACCCATATGTCAAGTTTCATAAACATATTTTCAGTACTTTTTGTGTTATCACTGGATCCAGGTTATGTGTAAAATTTGCCATATTTTTCAGTCTATTTGTTGCCATAGCAACCAGAATTTTCAACATAGGAAGAAAAGAAAAAAACGTGCATAATCTCCATACTGCCATCTATCCATATATCAAGTTTCATAAAAATATTTTCAGTACTTTTTGCGTTATCGCGGGATCCAGGTTATGTGTAAAATTTGCCATATTTTCAGTCTATTTGTTGACATAGCAACCAGAATTTTCAACATAGGAAGAAAAGAAAAAGACGTGCATAATCTCCATACTGCCATCTATTCATATATCAAGTTTCATTAAAATATCTTCAGTACTTTTTGCGTTATCGCGGGATCCAGTTTTGTGGACGGACGGACTGACGGACGGACAGACGGACTGACGGACAGAGGGTAAACCTAAAGTCCCCTCCGGTAAACCGGTAGGGGACTAAAAATATGTCTGGTTCAGGGAACCCGACCTACCCTATTTTTTTACCCCCTACCCTAAACTTTTTTTTGGATTTTTGCAACGAAATTTTTTGGGAACGAAAAGTTTAATAAGCTTCAATATTTTTGAATATGAAAAAGCAATGAATTTTGCTGTTCATTGTTTCAAATATATGATATGAGTTACTTAATAAACTTTTATGTACATGCATTGTTTTAGTCAACTTAATGTTTGGCCAATCTCAAAATGTCAACGGCAATCCAAGAAGCAACATTTTGAAAGGTGAAGTAACATGTTTTAGGGCATTTGTTTGATAAAAGTGATTCATTTACGGGAGCTGCTTCAATCTCTGTTTAAGTATGTTATGCAAGCAACACATCTGAAAATGGAAAATAAGACATTTAAAAAAAAAAATGAAAATCCCTACCCTCATTTTTGGGCCAATGTTTCCTGAACCAGACATATTTTTTTATTTGGCCTTATATTTTATGTACTTTGAACAATCAGTATGATAAACAAGATCAACAAGGAAAGGCGGCGTTCAATGAACACAACCCCCACACTACCCAGCAAAAACTGAAATAAATAAAAACAAACCAACAAAATATAGGGAATCACCAGAAGCAGCTTATGCACATTTTCCAAATAATCAATTTATCATGTGTCAGAATCCTTTCTACTTATATTTGCACTGTATATGAGACCAGGGGTTAAAATTCTATTTTATTTAGTTCTGCCCATTGTTTTCTCGTTTAGGGCACACGCATTTTTTTACTTGGGGACCATATGCCGCTTTGCATGGAATGGCACTAACGTGTCACATTGAAGGTTCCATGATAACCGCCATATGAACACATCTGCGGATGTTTCAAAATTCTAAATTTTACCAGTTCATGTTAAATGTTGAATTCTGCTTAAGCCGGTGCTAGGGGGCGTGGACGGTAGTTTGCACTTGACAGTACCGTCCATGAACAGGCTCAATCAAACCGAGCCTGCATCATTATAAATTTTGCCGCGTTGGCGTTTCTTTAGGGATTCTTATTTCACTCTATTTTGTATAGACACTTACAAATAAAATTTTTACTTTTAAAAAACGTGTGTCCCTGCTTTTGATTCACCTGAAACACAACAGGTGTAATACATCAGCTTATCTATCCCTGCTGAACTGTAAATATATTGATAAAAAGATTTATGTGCAGAACACATATAAAAATTCAACAAAAAGACATTGCTGAAGTGTTTTCTAAAGATCTCCAAAAAATATCCACGCCCAACCACCCGGGGATGTAACTTTTCATTTTTTTTAAAAAAGACTTAATACATATGTTAGAACTATCATGCAAAAACTGAAAGTCTACTGATCAGTCCTTAAATATTTTTTCTTAAAAAGTATTAGGCTTGATCTATATAAGATCTTTATCCTCCAGATGAACTGTCTGTAAAAACAGTAAATCGTGTAAATCGTTTTTGTTTACGTTGGATAATCGGTCAAACCGTTCAAGCCAAATTAAATAAGCTAATATTAATTTTCAAAACCAAAGGTTAACTTACATATATCATTAGCAATTCAAGTTACTTCAAACCTACTGTATTGTACATAAGTTTAACAATTTAAATCAGAAGTATTGGACGGGTCTCTCTTATGGCGATCAATCGCTACAGTGATTGTGGGCCATCAACCGCTGGGCACTAGAACACTAAATCTGTGTATTTTCTTCCTCGGTCCGCCTATCATACAGCTTATTACGCAACGTTTAAAAAGTATTGTAGAACTCTATCAAATGGAAAAAATCTTTAAAACATTACATATAAAGAACAGTGGTGATCGTAGCGAATGGTTTGTCCAGTCAGACTTATTATGATAATTCGTATATAATTGCTTCTTATAGCCCTATGAAAATAAACTGGCTAACGTCTCGGACTATATTAATTAATATTATCATATCAATATATACTTTTATTTTTTATGGCTTCAAAACGAGCTGTACATTGCCTCTTGACAATAACCACGAATCATATTATAGTTCCATGTAAAAACTGAGATGACTATATATTGTCTCTTGCAGGTAGCCACGTACACACAATGGCCTCATGAAAGTACATTGATGGTTAAAGGCCGAGCTTGTTTATATATCCCGCACAGGATTACATATGCTCTCTTGGAAAATACCACATATTTACCCGCTAAACAAGAGTATTACGTCCCTATGTAGCCACGTATGACCCCATAAAAAATTCTAAACGGTTGCATTTGTTTCTATTACTTAGCCACGTATGGCCGTGTAAAAATCTTTAAATGCTGGCAGTTATAGACTGTCTATTTGCTTGTGAACAACAACATATGGCCCCGTGTTAAAACTGAAACAACCGTAGTAATAGACTTATATATTTCTCTTGCAGGTTGCACGCAATGGCCTCGTGAAAATACTTCAACGGTTAAACCCGCTGAACTTGTTTATTTCTGCCTGTACAAGGGGTAAATATGACCACTTTGGTAAATGAAAGATATTTCCCCCCCCCCTAGCAAGAGTAATAAGGTTTCTTATGTAGCCTCGTGAAAAAACTTAAAGGTCGGCAGTAATAGACTGTCAATTCGCTATTATGAGCGTAGCCACGTATGGCCCGCCATGAAAAAGTTCTAAATGGCTGCATCAAAGGACTGTGTGACTGTTTCTATTACTTATTAGCCACGTATGGCCTTGTTAAAAAACTT